TGCAGGCATCCGCCGTACAGACAGGTGGGGCGGGCTGAGGCCGGAGTGTGAGACTCCTGAGGGAGCCGCATTGTCTGAGCTGTACGGATCTGTCCGGGGTGTACACGGTCCTATCCACCCTGGGTGTACACTGCCTCATGCATCGTATACACACACATCACTGGAGGATATCAGCCGAGCTCTATCGTTTTATTCCCAATTAAAATAAATCTATCCAATATCTGCATTGAAAGCCATATGTGACCCTTTTACTGGCAGAGAGAACACCAATAAAAATAAAAACCTCCACAGCTCCAACTTCCTGTGTGAGGGTGACTACGTTCCCTCTCCATGGTCCCCTGTATGTAGACGTAGTCACCTTCTGCTCACTAAAGCTGGGTGTACACTTGTGGAATCTCCAACAGCATTTCTAAGGATAATTCTCAGTACTTCTAAGATTTTATTTGCTTTAGCCTCTTACCCTATAAATTGCTATTTTGCACAGGAGAGCATATCTTTTGCATTGAATCTGCGTGGAGTCAGACTTCTTGAAGTACTCTGAACCTGAATACTGCTGTGTGCTTGCATGCTGCAGAGAATTATTCAACATGGCAGCACCCAGACTGAATTCAATATTAGGTAACCACTTGCCCTCCAGAGGATTTACCCCCCTTCATGACCAGGCCGTTTTCCGCGATACAACACTGCGTTCCTTTAACTGACAATTGCGCGGTCATGCAATACTACACCCAAATGAAATTTAGGTCCTTTTTTCATACAAATAGCACTTTCTTTCAGTGGCATTTGATCGCCTCTGCGTTTTTTGTTTATTTTTGCTCTATAAATAAAAAAAGACCGACAATTTTGAGGAAAAAAAAACAATATTTTTGACTTTTTGCTATTAAACATCTCCAGTAAAAAAAATTTAAAAAATCAAATTCTGTCATAAATTTCGGCCAAAATGTATTCTGCGACATGTCTTTGCTAAAAAAAAAAAATCCCAATACGTGTAAATTAATTGGTTTACGTGAAATTTACAGAGTTTACAAATGGCGGTATACATACTGGAATTTTATTTATTTTTTACTAGTGATGGCAGCGATCAGCAACTTATAGCGTGACTGCGGCGGGCATTCTGACACTGGGGAGGAACTGACTTGGTGTCACTGACATCCCCAGTGACACCAATACAGTGATCAGTGCTAATAAAAAGCACTGACACTGTACTAATGATACTGGACAGGAAGGGGTTAACATGGGGGGGGGGCGATTAAAGGGTTAACTGTGGCCTGTTTGAGTGCTTTCCACTGTATTTGCTGTATACTGCTTTGTATGGCTCTGCTATGCAAGAGCTGACTGTGTTGTTTATACACAGATCTCTGCCCTGTTGGAGATACTTGGTGATCATCGGGTGGGATCTGGTGATTGACAGCCAAGGCCGCGAATGGCCCCCTATCCGGAACTGAAACTTCATGTGTATATACGTGATTTTGCGCACCCGTGCCGTCCTGTAGCAGTATTTGTGCTATAGGGCTGAGCAGAAGCAGTTAAAGCAGAACTTCACCCTTCAGGGCATGTTGCCTCCATTCCACCCCTCCTCTACTCCGCTGCAGAAATTGGAGCTTTTTTTTTTCGTCCTTTATTTATTGGGGGATAAAAAAGGCCTTATCTGCCCGCTCCGTGCACATCATTCATGGAGGCGTAGGACTTGCACTTTGCCCACATCGCCTCCTGGGATATGTTGTCTCATATCCCAGGAGGCATAGCCCTTCATTGGGAAAAGACTAGGGGGTGGGGCCCAGCAGTGCCTAACCCGGAAAAGCCGGCAGTTTACTGATGATGTCACAGAAGAAGATGGGACAGGGAAGGGTGCAAAGAAGATGCAGATCTCAGCAAGACAATGCAACCAGGTAAATGGGGGTAAAAAAAAAAAAGGAGGGGGGGTAGGGAGCCTAAAGCTCCCCATTAACATTTATATTTACCAAATGAAAACCACATACAGTGTCCAAAATTCGTACATTCCAGAAACATTTGATATCCCCGCCTTCAAATTTTCTCATCACTGCAATCAAAAATTAAAATAGATTTGATCCACTGATTAGAAATACACAGCTCAAAAAATTAAAGGAAACACTTTTTAATCAGAGTATAGCATCAAGTCAATTAAACTCCTGGGATATTGATCTGGTCAGTTAAGTAGCAGAGGGGGTTGTTAATCAGTTTCAGCTGCATTGGTGTTAATGAAATTAATGAGACGACCCCCAAAACAGGAATGGTTTTACAGGTGGAGAACGCTGGCATTTTTTTCCCTACTCATCTTTTCTGACTGTTTTTCACTAGTTTTGCATTTGGCTAGGGTCAGTGTCACTACTAGTAGCATGAGGCAATACCTGGACCCTACAGAGGTTGCACAGGCAGTCCAACTCCTCCAGGATGGCACATCAATACGTGCCAGAAGGTTTGCTGTGTCTCCCAGCACAGTCCCAAGAGCATGGAGGAGATTCTAGGAGACAGGCAGTTACTCTAGGAGAGCTGGACAGGGCTGTAGAAGATCCTTAACCCATCAGCAGGACAGGTATCTGCTCCTTTGTGCAAGGAGGAACAGGGTGAGCACTGCCAGAGTCCTACAAAGTGACCTCCAGCAGGCCACTGGTGTGAATGTCTCTGACCAATCAGAAACAGCTTTGAGGGTAGCCTAAGGGCCCGATGTCCTCTAGTGGGCCCTGTGCTCACTGCCCGGCACCATAGAGCTCGATTGACATTTGCTATTGAACACCAGAATTGGCAGGTCCACCACTGGCACCCTGTGCTTTTCACAGATGAGAGCACGTTCACCCTGAGCACATGTGACAGATGTGAAATAGTCTGGAGAAGCCAGGAATGCAGGAAATGGTTAGGTGGTGCTGGAGTGCGACAGTCGAACAGTGTTTGGTACTGTCGCAATCGGACTGGTTCTAGCTGTAGGATAGCTGGAGGGACCCTAGAAGGGTGTGTAATTACTAAGCTGCTCCTCAACTCTAGTCAGTGCACCAGATTGTATATAAGATTTGTATCTGCCAGTGAGTGTGGTCAGCCAGCTGGATTGGATTGGAGGCTCCATCTGGTGGTGGCCAAGAGGTAGTGCGGGCTGTGAAAGGATATCATGGCTGATCTTATATATGGTTTTATATATTCAAAGTTAAGTCCCCTTTATTCCCTCTTACCCCAAGTCAAGGCCGCACGTGCGTGGATTCAGGTGTTTTCGATCACCTCCATGGCCACAGGTGTATAAAATCAAGCTCCTAGGCATGCAAACTGCTTCTACAAACATTTGTGAAAGACTAAGTCGCTCTCAGAAGCTAAGTGATATCAAGGATGGTACCATGATAGGTTGAAAGTCCATCCGTGAAATTTCCTTGCTACTAAATTTTGTACGGTCAACTGTTAGTGGTATTATAACAAAGTAAAAGCAACTGGGAACAACAGTAACTCAGACTCAATTAGCACAACAACAGTGTGTAGAGAGCTTCATGGAATGGGTTTCCATTGGCGCGCACCTGCATCCAAGCCTTACATCACCAAGTGAAATGCAAAGCGTCGGATGCAGTGGTGTAAAGCGCGCCACCACTGGACTCTAGAGCAATGGAGACGTGTTCTCTGGAGTGACAAATCACACTTCTCTGTCTGGCAATGGATGTGTCTGGGTTTAGTGGTTGCCAGGAGAACGGTATTTGCCTCACTGCACTGTGCCAAGTGTAAAGTTTGGTGGAGGGGGGATTATGGTGTGGGGTTGTTTTTCAAGGGTTGGGCTTGGCCCCTTAGTTTCAGTGAAGGCATACCAAGACATTTTGGACAATTTCATGCTCTCTTTGTGTAAACAGTTTGGGGATGGCCCCTTCCTATTCCAATATGACTGAGCACCAGTGCACAAAGCAAGGTCCATAAAGACATGGATGAGTGAGTCCTGACCTCAACTCAATAGAACAGCTTTTGGATGAATTAGAGCAGAGACTGTGAGCCAGGCCTTCTTGTCTGACATCAGTGCCTGACCTCACAAATGTGCTTCTGGAAGAATGGTCAAACATTCACATGGACACACTCCTAAACCTTTTGAACATCCTTCACAGAAAAGTTGAAGGTGTTATAGCTGCAAAGGGTGGGCCAACTCAATATTGAACCCTACGGACTAAGACTGGGATGCCATTAAAGTTCATGTGCATGTAAAGGCAGGCGTCCCATTACTTTTTGGCAATATAGTGTGTGTTTTTCACTTTTTGTTATCATAGTTTGTTAATAAACTACAAACAATTTCTTGGTGAAGGATGTATTATTTTTGGAGGCATTATTAGGAACATGAATATATACAGTATATAGAGGGGTTAGACAAAAAAATGGAAACACAACATGATTTGCAGGTGTAAAAGTGATGACGTGTTTCACGCTATAAGCAGAAATTATATTTTGCTTCTTTTGTGTGATGAGACACCTACCTAATGGGTGGGAAGCCTTACTTTCGTCATTCACTGTGTGCACTGCTAGTAATACAGAGTTGTGTCAGAGCTTGCTGAGCTTCAAAGAAAGCAAATTGTTGGTGCCCACTTAGCTGGTGCCTCTATCACTGAAGTTGCCAATTTATTTGTGTCAAGAGGTATAGTATCAAAGGTTATGATGGCATATACAGTTTCTGGTAAAATTTTGTCTAATAAGCATAAGCGTGGTTGACATGGTCAACTGACCGCAAGAAACAAATGGCCATTGTGATAATGTCAACGCAGTCAATGCAGTCCACAGCACGTGGTGTGAACAAACCCTAAAGTATTAATTGCAACTAAAAGTGCAACTAAAAGTGCAACTAAACTTTTTCAGTCCCCATTAACTATTTCTAATCCTTATGCTCCTAGCCCTCGTAAATAGATAGAAAGATATATTATCCACTTTCCGACCGCATAACCTAGTTATACGGCGTCAGAGTGGCACTCCTGCACTGGATGATGTACCTAGTACGTGATCTGGCACTTCCTGGTAGGGGTGGCGCAAGCCACCGGCAACACGGCTGTACTGTGGTTAGACACAGCACAAGCCGATCAGTGGGTGCTGGCCAATAGATGACAGCTGGCACCTGCTGATCAGTGAGCACTGACCATTCAAGCACTCGGGCACTGCCTGAGGGCCCGGGGTCAGTAGGGGGCCCCATGAAATGCCCCTGGCACCTTTTTTATAGGCTTTTTGGGTGTGTTTTGAGTGTGGCCAAGGACACAGGGGCCCCATGATCCCCTATTGCCCAGGGGCCCCATGAGTTGTCAGTCCGCCCCTAGTGAGGAGAGAGACAGAACAGAGCTCTGCCTATGTAAACAAGGCAGATCTCTGTCCTGTCAGCGGGGATGTGCTGGATTTTGTTTAACCCCTTCCCAACCAGTGTCATTAGTACAGTGTTAGTGCATACTGTATTTTTAGCACTGATCACTGTATTAGTGTCACTGGTTCCCACAAAGTGTCAGTTAGTGTCAGATTGTCTGCCACAATATTGCAGTCCCGCTAAGTCACTGATCGCTGCCATTACTAGTATAAAAATAAATAAATTTTTAAAAAATCCAGTATGTATCCCATAGTTTGTAGATGCTTTAACGTTTGCATAAACTTATCAATATATGCTTATTGGGATTTTTTACCAAAAATATGCAGCAGAATACAATTTGGCCTACGTTTATGAAGAAATTTGATTTTCGTTAAGGTTTTTATTGGATATGTTTTATAGCAGATAGTAAAAAATATTGTTTGTTTTTCAAAATTTTCAGTCTTTTTTCCCTTTATAGCACAAAAAAATAAAAAACCAAGTGGTGATCAAATACCACCAAAAGAAAGCTGTATTTTTGGGGAAAAAAAAATATAAATTTAATTTGTATACAGTGCTGCATCACTGCGCAATTGTCAGTTAAACTAACAGTGCCAAAAAGCAAAAAATGGTCTGGCCACAAAGGGGGGTAAATCTTCTGGAGGTCAAGTGGTTAAATTTACTTGTTTTAATTTTTTTTTAAATTTCTTCAGTTGCTTCCTGGTTTCTGACCTAGGACAAAATGATGTCATACATCCCAGCAATCTTCATGGGCATTGTTTTTTCTATCATCTGAAGAAGGGGAGGAGGGGCTTTCTCAGCTAAGCACACTCTCCTGCCTGAATGTCTGAGCTATAGGGAGATGGATTCCAGGAGGTAAATGCTACATGAGACCACTTCGACACTCCTATTGACTATATCTGTCTACAGTTTTACGGGTCGGACTCAGATTTTGTTGTATAGCCACAGAAGTTATCCTTATAGGACTATCTTGTACGTTCTTCTTTGCTTCTTTTGGATTTTTTTCTCTATTTTCTATATTATTATACAATTTCTTGATCTAACTTTGTACTGCTTTTATATTCTGAAAAAGCAATAAAAACATATTTGACTTTAAATGCTACATGTATCTGCTCTTACTCAAGGCAGCCGTTGCTAGAAATACTTCTCAACAAAATAAAACATGAAGACATGGATGGTTGGGTGAGTTTGCTTTGAATATTTAAATGAATTAAACAGCATTTTCAGTTCATGGCACTCAGATACAATTAAGTTCTGCTTTAAGTTAATCAGAATAAAATATGCCTATGTATGCATATTCCCTGTTATCTGCCACCATTACGTGTATCAGTTATTAAGAGGATTCTGCTATATATAATTTAATTCACAATTCAAACACTATATTTAGTATCGAGCAGAAATGTTTCCAAATCATCTGTCAGAAGCGTATAGCGTCCCTGGTAGTGAACTGTCACCCTCAAGGGCTACTTTGTTAGCTGGCTTCGCCCACCAGTGCCATTTTTAGCTGAGTGAGATGACATGTCCTGCTACCTCAGCATCCCGGGATTTCCCCCTCACATATCCCAGGAGGCTGCAGGAGCAGGGATGCACAGCAACCAGTGAACAGAGCTGGAACATGTCATTGGGAGCTGGCTGCTTGAACATAAAAAGGCAGCCAGCTTCTGATGACTGGGGAGATGGTGCAGGAACTACTCTCTGGCACCAGAGCAGCAGATTGAAGAATGACCAATGCTGAATCCATTGGGTAGGTGAGTATCTGAATCAAGGACTGCTCAGCAAAACAGTTTGGGGGTGGGTCCATAGTTATAAAATACAGTGAAGTTCCTCTTTGGACATGACCAATACACTGGAAGGGGCCCTATGATTGAATATAGCTCCGGGCCCAAAATCCAAGTAATCCATTGTTGTTTGGCTTCATTAGTTCAGTCATTGACCTGAAGGAGTATAGGGATATAGATTTTTGACTGTTGGTGAATTAGACCAGTTGGGGTTAACTCTCTATGTATAGAGGGCTTAAAATAAATGTTATAATCATACAGAGTTTATATAGCACCAACAGACTGCTAACATACTGCAGAAGATGGTCAGAGACCTACAAACATGCAGAAGATTTTACTGGAGACTGGGAACATGCCTCTAGATGTAATCATGGACTGGAGACATGTTACATGAGGCTATACGAGATTACTGCTCTCACAAACCCTTTACAAATCATTGCTTCCACATTTGTGCTCCCTTTAGCCCTCTCACAAATTGATTGTGCCACATTTGATTTTTCTCTTAGCAAGATCCATTATAAAAGTAAAAAGAAAAATTAAAAGGGTAAAGGGATGGATAGTACATAATAGGATCATGTTTAAGAAGTAAACAATACAATTTAAGCACAAGAAGCCTAAGACAGTCCATACATTATTCATTTTTTCATTCAACCAGCTGATTGTGCAAAAAAATGACCCAATTCTGCCATCCACACACTCATTGTGGATGGGAGAATCTTTCCCGCTGAGTCACTGTACTTTGATGACAGGGATACTTCCCCACCATCAGAATACACTAATTGATCGAGCAAAGCCAGACAGGGTGGTTTACAGAAGTCAAGATCAACTTCTGGACAACCAGCCTGTCAACACATGGATTGAAATTCTGCTGGACCCTGCTGAACTGGCCAATTTTTCGATCCATATGTGGCTCTCTTAATAATATTTTTTCTTTACTAACCTGAGTGGGCACCCAGGTAAGGGAAACACAGACTTCTTTCTACATGTGCTCCAAGGTCAAAACAATCAATTCTAAGGGGTTACATATGGCTGCTGATCTGCAAGGTGGGCACCAGGGAAATAAAGTGAAAGCAAATGCAATCAACTAGCATTCTCAGAAGGAGGTCAGCTATGATAGCTCCCATATTTCTCACGTGACAGCTGTAATTTAAATATTGATTTCCAGAAACCCCTTTAACCAGCTCCCTACCATTTAAAAACAAAGTCTATTTCTGGAGTGCCATTTAGACAGCTTGCATCACAGACAAAGGGAACGGAGTCAATCCGAGTGGCTTTGTGCCTTATGATCACTGCAAGGGCCAATGACAGTGGTCACAAATGTTAATGCATCCTGAGTTTCATCTGAAAACTTGCCCCTTCCTCTTCTTTCAGTGATTCATCCAGACTTCTTCATTCTTCCACAGCCAGCTCTTCTCCTGCCTGGTGCTGTGAGTAAAACTGCTCCCACTGACCACCAACCAAAGGGGGCACACTTATCAGCAAGAAGGGGGGAAGGCAATGATTACCACTGAACACATCAAAGGGGCATGCAGTGTTCATATAGATCTTAAAGGGGCAAACTCACCACTAATGTTATGGGGTAAAACAGCACTAATCATCAATGTTATACAGCACTCGCCATTGATCACAATATTAACAGGGGACACACAACACTGAACACAAACATTTAAAGGGGCACTCATCACCACCATAAGAGGTACTAACGCCATACCACTGAAATCTGCAAGCTTTTCTGTGCATTACATGGTCTTGACCACTCTGATTGCTCATTGTATACACCACATCCTAAACTAAATCTAAGAATTGTTAGAATTAACCTACACTTTAATCTAACATTGTAATTAGGATATTGTAGCGATTCTAAATACAACCAACTGTAACATCCCATCCTGTGATTTATTCGGTATTTACTGTCTATTGAGCACAGAACTCTGGGCCACACATGTTTGTGTTTTATGCTCAAAGCAGGGGTGGACTGACAGCTCATGGGGCCCCTGGGCAATAGGGGATCATGGGGCCCCTGTGTCCTTGCCCAAACTCAAAAAAGCCTATGAAAAAGGTACCAGGGGCATCTCATGGGGCCCCCTACTGATCCACGGCCCTCGGGCAGTGCCCGAGTTTCCAAATGGTCAGTCCACCCCTGGTTCAAAGTGTATACTCCACACATAGTTACATAGTTCGTCTGGCTGAAAAAAGACAAAAGTCCATCCAGTTCAACCATTAAAAAACAAAAAGGTTATAATCCTATACCCACAGTTGATCCAGAGGCAGGCAAAAAAACCCAGCAAAACATGATCCAATATGCTCCTGCTGGGGAAAAAAATTCCTTCCTGATCCCCCTGATCTTGTAGATGTCACTTGTTTCATGTTGCCCCTGCGTGGGTATATATTTGTTCATTTTTTGTCTGTTTGCAAATTGTAATAAACAGATTTCTTAAAAAAAAGTAAAGAAGATGTTAAACTTACCTGCTCTTTGCAGTAATATTGCACAAAGCTGGTCCCTTACCTCTTCTTTGGCGGTTGTCTACTCCTTCTTCCAGTGGGTAACCCCATAGCAAGCCTTGTGCTATGGGGACACCCATGAAGGCATGCTCCCAAGCTGCATCTATAGACACACACAGTGTGGCTCAGCCACTCCCCCTCCATTCCCTCCTCACACGATTAGACTGAAAGCAGCAGAAGTCTATGGTTGCCGCTGCTGTCTGTGTGTCCTATGAGAAGAAGAAGTCTGGAGTGATGCTGCAGACAGGACAGCACTGGATCATGAGGCAGGTAAGTGGGGGTGGGGGGGAAGGTGGGAGAACCATTTTTACCTTAATGTAGGAAACACATTAAGGTAAAGAAGAGTTTGCCTTTAGAATTACTTTAAAAGAAACTAATGTCTCAGTGGTTCTAGAAGCCGCTTACTTGGGCTTGTATGAAGCCCATAGGAATCAGCCGTATCGTGGTCTTAGGGTCCCCTTTCAAGGCCTGGAAAAATAGCTGTCCCTACAGCCCCCGCCGCCCTCTGCCTCCTGGTCTCCGTATATTTCCCTGTGGTTCAATCTGCAGCTCCCTGATTTTTAAACCATTCCAGACCCCTCTCTTTGTGCTTCCAGGGGTATTAAGCATTTGAAGGACATTTGTGATAGG